GGGTGTTCAGCAACTCTAAATGGTGAAAGGAGCATGTTCATATATCTACGCACTTCCCAACTAGTTAATGCGGACTTTGTTGATGCATCGATCAGAAGAGTCGGAAATTCAGTAGTTTTACAGTGTAAACTAAACAGCATTTATGGTCAAAGGTGAGTTGAAAGGTTAAATTTATCTCTTTTTATACAAAAATGATGCTTGATAATGTCTTTGGATTGCAAGGAAGTAATTGGATCTGCTGAGCCCAAAAATGCGCAATTAGTCTACCTGGTGGCTTTGTACCACTCCAAGACAAATGCACTACAAGCAAGAAGTGGCGTCCGCTTTGTTTTTCTGGATCTGGAATTTACTACTAAGGTTGTGCCTTCTATCAAAGTGTTAAGCTTTAAAATTCAGAAATTTTATGGCAGAAGATGCCTGCGTAGTCATTGCTGAGGAAGCTAGATTTGTTTGTCCTGTCTACAACTTGGCTCTTGAGTTGGTTAGACTAAATAATGCGGTTGCCGTTCCACTTAGGTGGGAGTTTTTTCTGATTTTGGTTCTTGTTCTCATTGGAGCCATTGCGCTAGAAAATGGTTTCGAAGCTCCTAACCCTACCTGTGAGAGTGTCAAGTCAATTAGGTGGGGCATGTATTTCTCAGAAATTTATGATAACTGAGGTTGTACCAAGTCATGGTTTACGGAAGGATTGCTTGCATTTAAAGCAATAAGATTGGTGAGAGAGAATATTCTCCTGCTTGAATACGGTAGTTGTCCATTTGTACTGTTTCCGCCTTATTCGAACCCTACAAAATTGGCTCCTCCTTTGCCGATGAGAGGTGGAACCAGATTGATCCTAATGGAAACGACAGATGCCTAGTGCACTTCAAAGTAGAGTTTTAAACTATAAATAGCTCAGCCAGAAGCAGGTAACTAATTTAAAGAGGGTGGGTAGAATGCGGATTTCGTGCCACCATTTATCTAACACTACATGTGTAGAGAGATAAATAATGCCTCACATAACGAGAACCACTCATGGACAGCGACACCCCATTATGAATAAGGACTCCCTGCACACAATGGCCAACAGTAAAGTGACACGAACCCCAACCTAAAGTTTCATGCATCTGTTAGCACCACGACGGTAAAACCGTGAAAGTTGATTATGAAACGGTCTAGACTGCCCAACCTATCACCCATCGAAACTTTCAATTCAAAGCGAGTCCACCTGTGTCTGACCCCAGCGATTCGCTTATGTACTATCAAATCTAGGTCACTATCCACCACAGAAGAAGCAGTTCATAATCCACGCACTATGTAGCGTTCGGCAGACGTAGAAACAATCAAAAGTGCTGGGACAACAAAGCCACCATCAGACCGTCATTTATAGCCCTGTTGTTTGATCCATAAGCAATCATTCATTTGTTTTCTTATAAAAGAAGAATAGACGGCTCATTACAACTGGCTTCTCTCTCATCAAAGTATATTGGGTATGCTGTTCAATTAAAGAAAAATTTGCGCTAATTATTCTCCTAATAGATGAGTGACATGTATCATAACCAACGCATTTTACATTGTTGTCTATGTCACTAAAGGCACTGCAGTGGACCGAAGGTGCAGATATGGGTTTTTTAGCTGCAAATAGGGTTGAAGAAGAGCACAAATACGGAAAGGGTCACCTTTGCAAATGAAATAAATGATTCAATGTTGCCATCCTCATCCAGTTTTCACCGGACTTTTAGCTCTTGCATCTTTCAGGGCAGTATATTTAAAAGTACATCATAGTAGCTGTCTGTGCAATTGTGACGGCTAGTCGGACACGTTTGATGTCTGCTAGGATTTCCTTAACTAGGTATGGTAGACCCTCGGCACAGTTTTGATTAAGATTATTTCTTTGGGACCGGCGCATTTGCAATAGATGGGGATATCCCACCACTCAGTAAAAAAAAACATTCGTATGATAAGATGCTCTCGAAAGGTGAATTTTTCAAGACTAGGCCTCGAAATCAAAGAAAACCTAGTGTTTTATAGGCTTATTAAGGGATATATAGCAAATTGTCTTTACTTGCACCATTAATAATCTTATAAGATAGGAGTGAGCATAGCCCCTTAGATGCACGTAGGATATGGTGTTGAGTTCCTTGATAATGGTAAGACTGCGTATGGAAAGCAAAGAATATTGATATTAGAACCACAGAGAATTTCCAGAGCACTTTACTGTTTAAAAATTTGAATGATCTAGACACTTTGAAGGTCACTAGCCTCAGTATAGTATGGAGGGGTCAATTCCGAATGCCGGCCAGTCGGATAAAATCGATAGGTAGCATCAAGTTTGGCAGTTTCTAGACTTGCCGTATGTGGCAAGAGTCAGATATAAATGTCCAAAACCCTGGGTCCGAAATGCTTTTGCAGATTTAAACATCTCTAACAGATACTTGGCGGTATTGTTGCGTCACGAGGAGGGAACCTAACCTAAAGACAAACTACAAAAGAGTTAGAATAAAGAAAGTAAGGATGGAAAAGAAAAGCAGAAAGACAAAAAAGAAGGAAGGCAGACGGCTTTTGTCAAATGCTTAACTCAGGTGTGCCAAGGGCATACAAATTCATTCTGATTAAATGAATGATAAATCACTTGCATCAGCGACGCGCCCTCTTTTATACTCTTTGCTAGAAGAATACTATTAGCATGTAATCACAAAAAGTATCCAAACAGTCACTAATGCCTATCAACGGTAAATACACTAAACGTATTCGAAGGATTTGCCCCCCAAGGGTAAACTTAAACAACACATGTAGGCAAAGTTCCCTTTTGACGGATGCTCGCCTGATGCGTTCGGGTAATTCAAACTTATTGCGAGACCCAAAAACTCGTGATTTCTAGTGTCTAGTTCTCCTAAACAATAGCGTTAGCACTTTAATCTGCACTTATTTATTTTCCTTTAATAGGGCCCGACTCCGTCTAATATCCTTTGCATAAGGTAGCTGCCTCTAGCTTACCCGAAGTTGGTGCAATTCAAAGCTAATTTTTCGCCAGAACCCCATTTTATTACATAATGTCGCATTTTCTGGCGATATGGGAAGAAGACTGACATCATCATTACCTTCTCTTGAGCAGAGGTATTTAGGCAAATAAATTCGCTGGGTGTTTAGCGTGTCCAGGAACGGTTGGAGTACTTCATAAAAGAGCTGAGATCGCGAACAATTTCGGTGAACTAAGCGTGATGGCTTGCCATAGGACGTCACAGACAGTATCACTATTGGTAGATAATGCAAAAACGGATATTTTAATGACATCAGGCCTTTTAAAGTGAGAGCATTAGGATTTATTATTCTATCAACCTTGGAATGTTGCAACTCTAGTGATGCCTCGCACCGCTGTAGAATAACGAAATGTTTTTTCATGCTCCGCATTTTCTATGCAACCAGCCGATTAACTATACTATAACACAACACCAGCACATGTCATTTTGCCCTACTTCTCAACTTCGATTCACTGCGCACTATAATCTTAGTCGTTAGGCCTAAAAGCTACCTCAGATCCAGGTTTATGTAAAATCATAATGTGGAAAATCGGTCCTGACTCTTGTTACACTCAGGAGGGATGGAAGCTGTTACATCTGGTGCACTCACTGTATTTTTTCCTTTTCCGACTGACACTCATTCGGAATTATCCACTCTGCACTCTATGAGGGCTATTGCTCCTGTTCGTGACAAGATCATCCAATAGTTGTAAGCAAAAAATGGTTTTGGACGTTCTTTGTGATTGAAATTGTGGCGTTAATCCATTTCGCTTGAAGTTGGGGTTCTCTTAGGTATTAGGCTGACATTATGAAAACCAATATTTCGGTAAACTCAATTAGGCAGTTTACTCTCTGCCCATCCGTATTTAATGGAAAATGCCCTTCACGATTTGGGTCATGGTTATCGTCAACCCCCAAATGACTCAAAGGAATATGTAAATCAAATGCATTTATACCACTTAACACCTGTTCCACATAAAAATGAAAGGTATTTCCACTGTACAGACAAAGATGCACAGGAAAATGTAGTTAATACATTGAAACAAGGAACATGTTCAAAAATGAGGTAGACCAACCCTTCCAATGAGCGAACATGCTGGATATACATACTTCCTGAAAGGAAGGAAAGAGTACTATACATTTTAGGAAGAAATTTGTTGAGAATTGTGAAGTGGTGGAACTGCAGACGAACTTGCCTGAACTTTAACACAGTTAGTCGTCACATCTGAAACGACTTGAGACGTGAGCTAGTTCCCTTGACTATTGCCTAGTTCAGTGTGATGGAACAGGGACGATCATTTTAGGTGGCAATAACCTTACCAACATGCCATGCCTCTCTACCTTGCACCAATACAATTTGCTTTCCGTATCCACGTATGCCATTTTTGGAGAAGCAGACAATGCTGACTACCTACGTCTGAGGGCCAAAACTCACTCGTCTCTTCTAAAGATATTGAGTATGGTCTAAGTAAAGAAAGACAACCTGCTGCGACGACCCTAACTCAGCATCTGAAAATAAAATCATACACTATCAGAGATGGCAGGTCTTTACTGCTCCCAACTAATACATTTGCCCCAGTATTAGGGCCAGTTCCTAAATTGGAACATCTGAAAAATCCCCCTTTCCCCGGACCTATAATTAATCCACCCTTCAGGGGCAATTAGTCTCAGATATATTCAAACAGGGTGGTCTGCCTGACCTCACTGTGGTAGTTGCATGAGTAATCGGGGTGTGTTGACCAATGCGAATGCAATATGAGATACTGGCTGCTCCTACAGCTACCATAATTGGTAACAACGACGCCATGAAGAAGTGGTGAGACCTTATTGTTTACCATCTGCATGAATCCCGCAAGAATGTACGCTATGATCCTGATCAATATGGCAGACAAAAAACAATGTGTGCGGGCAACAAAGGCATGAAATCCTAGCCTGGGCCAGCGGAACTCGTAGTTACGCACCGACACGTCGTTCAAAGGGTGTAAACGTCTCCATTATGGGCATCAAAGGAGAACTGTTACTAGCAACCTTGGAAGTGTTGGTTTTCCAGTCCGCAGAGAGAGCATTTTTATATCTGAGCTTGTAATTCTTCGGAGCGATGCATGAGATTATGCGAAACTGCGTACAGTCAACCATCTTTTATGTGGAAGATTAGGGAGACGCGTTTCCTCTTGAGCTCAAAAATTTCCCACTTTTGAGAAGTTTGCTCACATTTTTCACTAGAATGATGCATTGGTACTGACAGACCTCTTCGTGGTTAGGTGTAGGAAAAGTTTTTTACCTCGTCCTCCTTTTGTTACTACTTGCGTTGTTTAGAACTAAATGGCGCACTTTTGTTACAGCATCATTGCTCTCTCACCCGAGCTCGCTCATCGCAAATGTGTGAGGCAATTGCTTGGAAAGAAATAAATTACGTCAAATTGGAGAAAATCCATCAACAGTCATTCATGTCGTAACAGCAGAACAGCAGGGCTAATGGCTGGTTTTCTGGCCAAGAGGATGAAAGTACAGCTCGTTGTTTTGTAGGCAGTTACAGCTACTCTCAGCCATGAGGTACGATAATGGGTCTCTCTATGGCACCCTTTTAATAATATTGGGCATTGGATTGTTGGCCTACTTCTCTTGTCTCTGACGTCGTGGCAAGCAGTCATCGTAGCTAGTAGACCAGATGCACCGCGTTCTGTCCTCACCCCCACCACAACCGAATTTTGCTACCTTAGGGGCTAAGGGCCTGCCTTGAATCCACTTATCCGGCACCTGCTTCGAAGTCTGAACCATATCCAGGGAGTTTGGTAGATATTTATCTCCGTTTTTACATTCTTTTTGAGTGTCATCTTGAGAGTTCATCATGGTCACTATTCTGCTTTGTTTGTAACGGGTTTTTCTGTGGTTTGCGAACAATTACAATCCAGAATCGAAGATAGTGTGCTGAATTTGCGCCTTTGAGCTGCTGCCTGGTGGCTGTGGTACTTAATGTAGACTTGGGCTAAATTCTTGGATATCTCAGCCTCTATACATGAACTGTGTCATGGTGGGAGAGAGTTACGAGAATATGTCAACGATCGGGTGGTGTTTTGCTTGATAATTAGTTTTATTAGAGACCTTTATCTAAAAGCAGGTTAGAAAGGGAATGCATTATGTTCTCATACTTAATTGCCACATATTAGCAACCAATTTAGGATTTCTTACGATATCGCCTTGTCAGTAGTCGTTTTGCTAAACACCGCATTGAGGCTTTGCCAAAAGCCAAAGGCTCTGTACTGAGTCTTCGTAGACTCAGCCAATTACCTGTTACCTAGGGTAG